TTAGGATTCAGACCAAACAGTAATGTGTGATCATAACCAACAAGACAGATTAAGTCATATCCCTGGATCTGCTTATGATATCAGGATGATCCAGGTATCAAAATGTAGCTTTTAAAGCCAGAAATTTGAAAATGTAATTAGGTCATTTTGACCAAATTTAACTTAATCCTTATTTTGATATGATGGGTCACATTTATGCAATCACTTATTTATTATTAAATTGGCATTGCTTTGTAGAAATCATGTTTAAATATTTTTTTGTCAAAAGGCCAGTTTAGTTTGACCAAGACTTATAAAAACAAAAAAAGGGAAAASCTTCAATAATTTTTATAGGCAATGTACATATTTCTTGATAGTTTTAGGCCATAAAAATATTTTAAAGATGAGATTTGGAGTGTTTAAAATGACATTTTTGTAGCCTGTGASTAAAAGAGGAGTCTTTCCACTTCTTTTATACTTGAAAACATTTTGTCAGCTTATTATTACAAACATACTGTTCATAAGTCCTGAATTATTATAATATGTTGGAATTTCAGGAAATAGTCACATTGACACTCTGAAATTTCTTCTGAATATCTGAGTTGTTTAAAATGTTTCCACAAAAGCCCCATTCAAACTGCAGGAACTCCTGCTTCAGATAACACGATGAAATGGGCCGTGACATTGCTGTAATAACAATTTCTTAAACAGCACATTTGTACAAGCAGTAAAAAMCAAACAGAGAAGCAGCTCCATGACTAACTTTTGTTTGCGGCTCTGTGTGACCAGTACCTGACATTTTTGTGATTCTCTACATAAAGGCTGTGAAAGTTGTTTAGGCTGGTGTCGTTGTCGTTCTGTCCTTTGGACTTGGTCAGTTTCATTTTCACCTCATCCTTCAGCTTTTCGGCGATGTAGCGAGGTAACACCGACAGAAGAAGCCCCTCCTATTGGAAATAAACAGAAGGGGGGTCAGTGTGTGTGTCAGGAAAAGATGGGTGATAGGTTTTTAGACTTTTAGTARCAGAGTCACCAGCTGGTCATCAAAGGCCTCCTTGAAGCAACGCCGTGTTTGCTCAGTGGATCATGTTTCATCTCTTTGTTTGCTCGCAATGAATGGAGTCTACCTGGGTTTGCCTTTTCTATTGCTGCCCAGCTTCAGACAAGTGAATGATTAATCTATTGGCCTAATAGCAAGAAAAGTACACAGGCACCAAGCTTTGGCTGTCAATGTAAAGAGCCGTTTATTGAGAGCGATTACACCTAATGATTTTAAATTCAGAGGAAATTAATCGAGCCAAGACCCTGCATTCAATTTTACAGGGTCAGGTTGGCAAAAGTAAAATATCAATTTCATTTTTAGACAACCACTTATCAAAATTGTACTTTCAACAAGCATATTTAAATTTTAAAAAATCATATAAAAAAACTACTAAAGTTTCAAAAATGCTTGATAAAAGTGAATGCGTGCTTCAGGTTTCTGTTCTGGGACCTTAACATTTATGTACCATGATGTGATTATTTTGAATTTAGATTTATATGCACTGTCCCTTTTTAAAAAATAAAACTAAACTCAAAAACTAAACTAAACTAAACTAAACTTTTAGACAAATATCATATGGTACATTACTTTGTGCATTTCTAAAACATTTAAAAGTTTGAAATTGAACCTGCTGATAGTTCTTGACTTCCTTCTGTGAACGTATGGTGCTGTAATCTTGTCTCTTCTGATTGGACTTCCTGAGATCTCTCTTGGCCATCCACATGTGAAAGAACCCAATGCCGTTCACACAGATGAACAGCACAGCATTCGCCACCAACTGGGAAAAAAAGCAATAAGGAGAAGAGGAGGTGATTTATCATTTCTTAAAAGGATAGATGATTACAAATATAACAATGTTACAAGCTCCTTAAAATCATTGTTACATTTCTTCTTTGGCGTTGTATTTATTTTTTCTGTGGGGTCTATTATAGCCTGGTTTAAACCAGACCCTGGCTACATTCACACTGCAGGTCTTAATGCTCAGTTCCGATTTTTTGAAAATAATCCGATCTTTTTGTGTGAACGTTCACATTACATTTTAAATGTGACCTGCATCAGACCCCTGTGTGAACGCTCCACAGCACTGATGTGACACGCATGCGCAGTAAAAGACGTGACGTCTCATCAGCCGGCTTGTTTGTTTACAGAGCTAGCATGGATGCTAAATTTAGCACATCGAATCTGAAGTTGTTGTTTAATCAGAGCCGATTAAATAATTATCTGACCTGCTTCTTTAGTTCAGTGTTTATATCTGAAGCTGCCTCTGACCGGGATGCTCCAGTGAAGCTTTTTTTTTTTTTTTTTTTTAACGAAACTACGAGCTGGAAAAAAGTATCGACCGCGTAGCTAACTTTAGGATCAATACTCTCCACGACCCAGGCTGGATCATTATTATCATACTATCTACGTGGAAAATGAAAAGTAAAAAGATGAAGCAACTGGACTTGTGTTTTGGAGCTGTAAACACACGGAGCTACAGATTTAAACAGCGAGACTTGAGGTTAGTGTCTTATCGATCCTTCACCCACTCCTCCTGATGAAAAAGTCAGATGAATGTGACATGAGCGTTCACRCTGCAGTCACTTTGAAAACATCAGATATGTATCCAATTTAAAACCACATACTGAAACGGCCTGGGTCGGATTTGAAAAAATCGGATTTGTCTCGTTCAGACTGTCGTAAAAAAATCGGATATGAGTCATTTGGGTCAAAAAAATCGGATTTGGGTCGGATTTGCCTGCAGTGTGAACGTAGCCCCTGTCCTTCACTTTGCTTCGTACTAGGGTCTGGACTTGATGCATAGAGAATCGTTTCTTGCAGGAGGTGTGGCCTCTGCTGAAGCATGTATGTGTTGTCGGTGTGAAGGAGGCTAAGCTAAGAAGCTAACCGGAAATTGTGTGTGCTGTAAACAACCCTACTGAGAGGAGAAATATACCGAGCCGAACGAGACGACTGTAAATGAGAGCTGCTGCTTTGTCAGACAAATTTATTTTAATTTGAAGCCTTATCAACACAGACTGGCTTCATTCACTTCCTCCACTGCTGTATGCTAAAATAACTAGCAGACACAGTGCAGAACATCGACGTCATTCAAAACTCCACCTTCTGTTCTCTGATTGGCCCAGGTAAAATAAACTACAAGCAGACACTGCACAGAAAATCGACGTTCTGCTCTCTGATTGGTTCGGCTAAAAATCTACCAGCGAAATCCATCTCAATGGGAAAAGTCCCAGACGGAGCAGAGAAGGGAAACTAGAATTGAGCGGAGCTGCGTAGGAAGGCAAAGGCCAGGCTAGGTCTGTTAAGGAGGATAGTTGAATTTTGGGACTAGCATACTCAAACTGAACGGTCGACTCCTGATCACGTGGTGTTGGAAGATTTCATAGCCCATAAGACACACAGCGCAGAGCCCCTGGGAAACCCCTCCTGCTGTTGGACACAGCACAGGTTTCTTCCCGCTGGGGTCTCCACTCTGATTTTCAACATTTGGTCACAAATCTGCTACATACAGAGCGCTWGGTTTGGACGGTGTTGATCTTTTCATTCGGCAGTAGAACCTTTTGAAAATAAAGCATTATTAACCGGTAAGAAACCTGTGGTTTGTTGTCCAAAAGCTGCCTGTCAGCTCTACACCGGCCCGCTTTTTTAGGAGTTTGCAATAACTGTTTCTAACTCGCTCAGAGTTTTTTCTTTTAACCTTGCTCGGAGGTGAAGAGACAGTCGGGGGTGAATCTACTTTCCCAACCCTCAGGTTGTCTTCTGAAAGGACCAAGGTGGTCAGAATGTGCTTCTGAAATATCCTTGAATGTTTATGTCCCAGTTTTTATAGCAGCCTTGTGGAAGTTTGACTAATACCCTTATAATTTTTATACACAGTCACCATATGTTAATAAGGATGCACTGATATGAAAATTTCAGCCGATATCGATATCCGATAATATTATTGGTGTTATGGCTGATAACAGATATTTACCAATATTACACAAACACAAAAATTGTTTATACACATATATGCACAAACACTGGTGTCTTTTTTCAATATCATAAATTTAAAAAAACGACTAGACTGCTGACATGTCTCTCTGATTCAGTTATTCCAGGCTGTGCAGCCTCACTRTCACTRTCATGATCAAACAGAGACCACTCGACCAACTACTTCCACTCCAGAAACAGAAACACAAAACTAAAATGTGGGAAATCAACACGTTAATATCAGCCCAGTTTTACTTACTGGATCAATACAGATATTCTAAAAAAATGACCAACATCAGCTGATACCGATGTTAATGYYGACACATTGCGCATCCCTAGTTAATACCATGGTATGTTTGTGTCATTCCGCCCAAGCCTACAGTGCCACACTTTTTGGCAAATGGATTCCTCCACGTACGTCTGTTCTATCTCTACTCATGAGTTTATCACCATTTAACTAGCTTTATAGGTGTCTGTAAGAGGAATATAGATGGACGTTCTTTCCAAGTGCTGCTCCTCAAATCTGTCCATGTTGCTGGGACAAACAGTCGGCTTCTAGAAGAAAAGTAGTTGAAGTAAAATGTCACCATTGTTGCCTGAGCAAATTCAGAATAAACAAACACACCTACAAACTTCTGACTAATCATACAAAACTCCCAGGCCCTGTGTCCAGAAAGGTCAGGCAAAACGATGCAATTTTTGTCACAGCTTTGTCAATGAGACAGTTTTTTAAGACACCAAGACAAGTTTTTAAAAGCCACTGATGTGGAATTTTTAGAGCTAAAAATGGTCTGGAGGAAGATCTTAAAAATGCCAGATCTATGTATATATTTAAGAAACATTTAAAAGCTAGTTTTCTGAAGGTATTTGAAAGAGCAAAATGTGATGCTATATGAATTGTTGTTTGAGTTGATGTTTTTATCTTTATTTTTATTTAGTATTGTTTTGTAAATTATCTATTCTTTTTATGTATACTGGGGATAAAAGGGGCAGACATTATAAGATTTATTCATCTTCTGCTACCTTTCATTTTATTTTGATTTTTTGATTTGTGCATTTTCTTAGTTTCTATTGTATATATTTATTTTGTTTTTGATTAAATTAATACATTTTTTAATTGAAATTGAATTGAAAATTGAAAGTTTTTAAAAGTTGTTTTTCAAATTTATAAAACAACTTTTTCTCAAAAATTTCATTTTAGTGTGAAAGAATAGTACATTAGCTACTAATGAACAGCTATACATTTGTATAATCATGACCATTTCATTAGTTCTGTTGCTGTTTTCTCAACCCGGTGTTTGTGTTATTATGCAAATATGCAGGTGCTCTGAGCAAAGACACACTGTAGATTTCCAAATGGTGCAGAGGCTTTGATGTACTAAATATTGGATTAACTGTAACTTCAAAGAAGACCAGACATTTTGTGTCGGGACAGGGCAGTGTGCCTCAACAGTGGTATGAAAACAAGACGACAGTGACTCAGAAAACTTTCATTTGAATCTGTTTAAAATAGGAGAGATCATGACGAAGAGAAAGCACATAAAAGTTGTTTGCACATGAGCCGTTTTAGGACCCCTGTGTAAAACAGTAACAGATGTCACAGATCATTTACATGTTTTCCAGAGGAACTAAACCCTGCTGATCTCACACTACAAAATGCTTTTGTGTTCGCCGACCTGAGCTTCGGGTCACATTTGAATCTGGAAGCTGCACGTGCAGCCCTCTAAACGGACAGATAATTTGCAAATTTCTGTCTCATTTACATCGGCAGGTCGGCAGCTTGCAGTAAGAATATGTCTGTGTTCAACCTGCGATCGTTTAAGACACCAAAATCATACAAAGAGCAGACGAAATGTCAAAACGGTGCATTTTTCGTCAGTTCGTAACAATTTAAAGTTTCTTCAAGTTTGGCGTGTTTTTACCTGCTCAGCCAGCTCCGGGGTGTCTGGGTTCGTGACGGGGATGTACACGCTGATGATGATGATRTGTGAAACACTGGTCCCTATCCCAACCATGAGGGCCCAGGCCAGATTTAGAGGCAGCACTGTGTACACGCTCAGAGACAGGAAGAGGAAAAACGCTACCTGAGGAGACACAAAGGGAAGAAGGAAGTTCATCTATTTATTTATTTTATTTTATTTTTTGTGGAAAAGTTATGAATAATTAGTATTGTATCTGTTGTGGCTAGTCTGAGTGGGACCCAGACCAAAACGGATAATTGTCCTTGACATTAATTACATCATCAGTCCTTCTAGACTTGAACTCCATTTCTCCATATTGAGGTTGTTCAACAAGCTATCAACGGGTACGATGTTAATTCGTCAAAACCACTTCAAAATAGTCGACATATTCCTTTAAGTTTAGCCATCGTCTCCTCCTCACTTGTTCCCACGGTGTCACAGGCCCTCCCGTGAAGACGAAGACCATGGCTGTGGTGTACAGCGTCCCCCAGACGAAGAGCACCAGCGCTCCTCCGCAGCGCCTCATGGTGGCCAGCCAGGGCAGGCAGACGAGCAGGAGCACGCTCAGACAGAGAACCACGCACACCACGGCCAGGGCACCCACGTGAGTCACTGTGTCCTGGAGAGTGAACTGCGAAAACAACAAACGGGGACACTCGTTAAAGCAGGTGATGTCGCTGCAGAAGCACGAGCTTCGTAGGAAGCTAGCACATTTTGCGGACGCCGTGGCGGGCTGGGAATTATAAACTGGAATAAATTAGATTTTAGAGAGAGGGACAGACAACACAGGGCCAACAGAGCTTCTCATAATAATATATATTTGTAAAACCCCTGACCTATTTTGTTATTCATCTGCACATTTATATAAAGTCACCTGTCTGTGTACAGGGCTAAAATAAAATGCCTTTTTTTTCATTAGCATGAAAGCCCTTCAAACAGGTGGCACCATGTTTTTAAACTGCTCCTGCCATCTGAAACAAAGGGGATTAACATTTATTTAGGTCTGACAGACATGACCGCTATTTTTGTCAAATGTCACACTGAGAAAAACTGAAGCTAAAACTAGGATTTTTCCTTATAAATATTTCAAGTTTCCTTCTTGTGGCTCGCAMACATCTTGTGTTTGCAACCTTCCTACCACTATGGAGTTATGGGGATGTTATTTACATGAACACCCTGGCCAGATCTCTGCATATGTTGCAGCAATGCATGGACTGCTCTGATTTATAGGGAAACGTAAACCTCTCACACACCACTGTACACTATGTTCACTGGTGTACTGGCCATCATTGTCTACCTGCACTGGTTTACCTTTATTTACAAATCTATCTRCTGCCTCTCTATATACGTTCCAAGATGTCACTAAGACAGTACAGTCATACTGTACTCTACGCTCTCAGGATTGTATTTCTTTCTAATGCCTGGTTCACACAGCAAGATTTGGCCCTTCTGACAACCTTAAAGTGACCATGACATCATTTTTTTGCAATATATACTAATTCATTTTTGAAAATATAAGATTGATAATATATTGCGAAAAAAAATCGACATAGCTGAGGTGAACAGTTGTTGAGATATTCACATGTGAAGTAACAGGAAGTGATGTCAAAGGGGAATGTCTGCATGTGAACAGAGCTCAGACTGTAGAGAAGAATCTGATGTTTCTTCAGATTATTTTGCGTCATTATCAAAGACATGAAGAAGAGTCAAAGTTCAAATAATTTAGTTTCAATAAACAAAAAAACTGCTACTTTTCTTAAAGAATTCCTCTTTGATGTCACTTCCTGTTTCATTTTGGCTGAGCCAAGTTCAAAAGAAAATATGCAGGTTTTGTGACAAAATGAGTAAAATTATGTGTATTATGCCTAGTTTCTTAAATATAAAGGTGTTTTTCTTGACATTTTGTATTTGAAGAACATGCATGTCCCAGGATCATGCCATCACTCCAATTATTGTGATGGCTCTAAAGAAAATCTTAGGTGATATTCCTGCTGTGTAGTGAGTTAAGAGGGATCCAGTTACTGCTCCAARTGGGGATATTCAACATGTTGGATTGTTTTGGCCCGATACGCCAGAATGTGGTGTTCCCCAAGGACAAACGAGCTCACGGCCTGTCAAATGTGACGTGTAGCCTGTCAAACACAAGGTGACGTAAACACGGAGGGAAATCCAAAAATCCAGAAGACAAAACAACTGTTATGGTGCACCAGAAAGTTTTTCTTCGGTAAAAATAGTCTCCCCAATCTGTCATCAGTGCTTCTTCCTCGTCGGCCGTGTTTATTTACTCTGAACTCACGTTTGATCTTGAGGTTTTGAGAGATTTCCTGTCTGACATCTGAATGTTTGTGAGTGAAATCTCTTAGTGCGTTGTCTCTTGCCGTGTGGCTGTACACCACACACTGTAACTTGTTATATCCATGATTTTTGTTGTCATGTGGGGTCTCTTAGTCTCTGAAAATCAACCGAAAACTTAAAAATCTTGCCATGTAAACTARGCACGAGTGTGCGCAGAACTTGGAAAAAAGGCCTTCTCGTATTTAGGACTGCCACAAACGATTATTTTTATAATCGACTAATCACCGATTATTTTTTTCTATTAGTCGACTAATCGGATCATACGTTAATTGAATAAAAAAAACATAGAGCTTATCGCGCCAGAATGTAGCTGCTATTAAATAACCATGGTTAGATTTTAGCTATATGCTAACTAAAAATATTTGCTGTGGAAGGTAAGTTCTGCTCTGCAGATATTACACAGGTTTCTCTTTCATTTTCTTAAAATGATCCCACAC